CTTTTGATTCTTTGTGCTATTTGGCAAATGTTCAACTAACAAGACTATACTGTGCATTGTCCATAACACCCAGCCAGATTGATGACTAATAAATGCTGATGAATTTGATTATCCATTAAAAAAAATATTAAATAAATAAATCAATAAAAATTATACAATGACCAAACTATCGCATTTCATTATATACAACATTTACAAATTTCCTCTCATTTTATGATAAAACACATAGTACATTTGGACATGTAGGGCTATTCAAAATCACTATACGTACTAGCATCAAAACCTCCATAAACCACCTAGTATGCACATGACAAAGGAGCTACACAAATGTAACACAAGATAATTTTTTAAAGCCTAATTGGTTCACCAATAAAGCTCTGTATTTTCAATGAATCTACAATTGCAGAATTATTTCTGCATACAGTTACACTCAACAAAATTATCCAAAAAAATATTTTAAAGCAAGAAACTCCTTTCTTCCTTTCATGTAATGGGATAACTAATTATAGATGCCTTGCACATCCCCCCTACTAGTAAGCTGTACACATATTCTCACTGTAAAGAACATGAAGAAAGTAGGTGTTACAGGTACACATGGACTGTACTGTACTGTAATGGGCTTCTCTTAGTACACATATGTCCCTCACAATCAACCTAGACTTGAAGCTTTTGTTAAATTCATTGATATTATATAGATAATTATTTAATGAGACGAGGAAATTTATAATTCTCGTTATTAGGTGAGCCAACGTAAGGACAATGTAAATATTTTGTCCAATTCTTTTTTTTTCTTCCTCATGGCTGCCCTACCTATGGCAAACATCTAACCTGGAAGACAAATAACAAAAGTGGCACAAACTGACATGAGCCTACCCTCAGATGATGGATCTAAAAGGAAAAGTGCCATTACACCAAGTCTTTCAAACAATATTAAATATTGTAAAGGTTATAGAATCAACAGAACTAACATTATTACCCTCATCAAACCCCCCCATGCTTATTTCAAACCCTAAACACAAACATGATGCATCTAAACCTTCTTTGAACAGAAGAATTTCAGAATAAAATGCATCCATCCATTGGTATCTTGATTGTCAATCAGTTCAATATGCATGTACTATATAGCTGATAAACTTATCTTGTATGTTTGAAATTATTTGACGGGTTATAATTATATATTTGTCTCAAGACTGACTGGATAACAAACAAAATGTCTGGGGAAACATCAATCAACTAAGATCCCCTAGAGACAAACTCATGTCACGAGGTATACCTGCATATCCTACAATATCATAACTCAAGATTTTTCCTGCTCGTACAAGAAGAGAGACTAATTTTACCATTTAACACGTTAGTTTTCAATTTCCAAAAAAGTTGTATATCACACCGAAGACACCTGACCTACAGTATTACCTTGCATTACAGCACTTGAAGTCATACCTTAGATTATGTTCAAATTTTATATAAAGGTATTCCTTTACATGCTGGTTAAGGATCTTGTTTCAAAATTAATTAATCAGCAGTGGTGCATCAAGTGAGGAAGAGAGACAGTTACATTTGGAGGATATAAAGAGGAAGAAATCAGCTTGTAACAAAAGTACCAGTAAATCTTAGCAGTAATTATTTAATGTTATGATTATTATTATGTCTGAATATGGAGGGAATCTATACACAGCTTGTATCCCACAGCCTCACCCCTTACATTAACATATCTTGGTGTCAGAGCTACGTAGGAAGACTTTGAGTAAACTGAGGAGGAAAATTCCTTCTTTTTAATTAATGATTACCATACTATTATAAAATTTTACAAACTGTGTATATTAATTGTCTACATACATTATGAATTGCATACCTGCATTATCTATACACATATTGAATCAATGTGTATCTTGTAAGATGATATTACTCAATAAAATTGAACTGAATTGAGCTGTTCTAAAAAGTTGGCAAATTCTCTGGCTAAGGCACAAATATCAGGTGCATCTCTTACAACACTAATAACAGTAGACAAAGACTATTCCAAGGATGAGAAATATCAATTCAGTTTCAAGCAAAAATTTAGAGGACTGTTTTAGGGAAGCCAAAGAATGTTTTAAGAGGATAACTAGGAAGTGATTAAATTTTAAAAGTAGAAAATGCTCAACAAATTTATTTTCAACAATTTAAAGGAACCAAATTCAATATCAGTGATTTATACTGGTTTTTAGAAGTGAGTGAGTAGAGAGAGAGAAATACTGTATATGATGAATAGGATGAGAAATATAGCTACTGCAGTTGAAAACGACACAGAAAATAAGGCAGTGATGACCAATCAAGGAAAATTAGGCATATTATTGTAATTTCACCCATTTACAATTATTAAAAAATTACTAATTAAACCATCAAATTAAATTAATTGGTTTTACTTGAATTCCATTATATAGTGTTGTGGATTGGTTGGAATTTGACTGTCACCTGTGTGTACTTCCTGCACCTCTAAATCATTATGTGAAATACTTCATACATCCATACAGTTGTCTGTATATGTGAATGACTTTTACACATTATCCTTGTCTTTGAAATGCACATGGTAAAATAAAACTAACATAATGTGGAGCACCAACATAACTGAGTTTGGTAAGAAGTGTACAAGAAAAAAAAAAAAAAAAAGATTACATTAAATTTTACTGTACCTGCAATGGAAATAATGGCCTAGTTGATAGACTGTTCACTTTATGAGTAATTGATTAAATTCCAATCAGCAGACAGGATATGAATCCCTCTTGTACAATATGTGCACTCAACTATAAATGCGTATATACACCATCATCTCTTGCCAATGGTGGGGCAGCCCACTAGAAGTTGAATGTTAAGCACCAGATCAGCACCTGCCCAGCCACCTTGCACCATAAAAGGAAGAAAATTTTATGAGCAAAAAAACAGAGAGGGAAGAAAATTTGATGTTTATGTGCCATTTATAGCTCTGATCACTTTAAGAGTAAAATCCACCAGCAATGGAACAAAATCAAATGAGAAAGTGTATAAAAGTTTTGATCACCAATGTGACCACTTAAAATTATAATAATATTCTAGGTCACTAAACTGCCTGCACACAAACATATATTTTGTTTCAACTCTGAGACTATTTTTCATAATCACCTCTGAGTTTTTGTCGAGTTGTTAGCCCCTGAGTCTGTACTCAGCCACTTAACATAGAGAAGCACATATACAGTAGTACCACATGAGCAGTACCCTTTTAGTTCATGATTGTATCCTTTTCCTAACCCTTCAGTTTTTGTTCAGAAGATGTGTTTAGCTTATTAACAACCTGTTCAGGGATACACTTGGTACTTATACTTGTTAGACCAATTGTAAGGAAGAACTATCTCAAATGTTCTCAAGTTCAAACAACTAGGGAAAATTTTTCTCTAACTACCCAAAAAACTACTCTTTGGAATGCATACTTCAATTAATTTCAGAAATTAGCTGTCAGTATGTTTATGTAGCATTCAAGAATATGCAGCTTTATTCTAGCTTTAAACATCCTTATACCAACAATTTAAAAAGACTGACAGACTAGGGTACCCCAAAAATTTATATAAACAGTTTGCATTACATTTAGAAGCTACTGTACCAAATATATATGAAAAAAGTGACTTCTAACTTGTCCACAGTAATATGGATGGCTTGAGTGATATAGTATCATATGATTTTTCAACAAATTGGTTTCCAATTGAATTGGAAATATAAACATATCATCTTGCTAATACAAGTTGAATTATTATTTATCTACAATACAAGACCAATTGAAAATGGATGTAAAAACAGATGGTAAGGGAAGGCTGAGTATTGAAAATACAATGTTTGATAAACAACTGCATAACATACAATGTTGACATAAAGGCAGCAGTGTAAATCTAGTTACTCTAATAGGATTTTTATACAAGACAGTTTTAAGAAGACAGCAAATGTACATGTACATTACCTTCTCCAGTACTGTACAGCCACACTGCCTACACACAATAATGGAACTTTCTATATCTTGGGTTCCACTTGCCTTTCCTCCTTCCCCTTTATTGCTGCATTCTTTTATCAAGTAGAACATAAGACAATAATTTAATATAGATTATCTATAATTTGAATTATCAGCTATTCTGAAGAGACATTTGCCATTAGACAACCCCACAGCCTACATTCTAACAAAAGTTTTCACAAATTATATCTTTATATTTAAAATCTATATGTTCCTGAGTACTTGTTTAATTTCAAGGCTTTAGTGTAAACTCAATTTCATAAAATAAATAATTTAAGATTCTTGTATGTTAAATGTAACTTTTATAATGCTCTAAAGTATAAACAATACACACCTACCCATAAATGTATGACATTTATACAACTTTCAAGAATGAGATATTCAAGATAATAATCCTTCAAAATGTTATCTGCAGAGTAATATTCAAAACTCCACTCTTGAGGGATTATGCTTAGCTGAAACATTTTACTAAGAATGAATAACTGTTTCAATCATAACAAATGTAGAATTTACTACTTATACTCATCCTGTATGCATATTCAAGTGTCTGTCTCATATCATCACTGCACAATAATGTCTACTGGTTGCTCGTCTCAGACTCACTCATGATGATCTTTTAATCCATGTAATTTTATGGAACCGTGTACTGTACAGTCAGCCAAAGATCCAGCAACCCCAACCTGGGTTTCGTACTCACAATTTTACATGGCAATGCTTAGTAAAGTAAGGCTGTAAGTAAAGGTGATTGTGATTGGTGGATCTATTTTTGGCTGTATCACTGTCAGGATAAATAAACAAACCAAAGGTAACATTTTTATAATAATAAACTATTCATCATTATTTTAGATAACGAGAAGTTTCCAAATGTTCGTATATTTCCTTAAATAGTGAAGAAAATCTGATGTGAGAATCTTGTGGCAGCTGTGGTTGTAGTTGCACTGCCAATTCATTAATATCATTTTGGAAATTTGTGAATAGATTTATCTTTGGCTGACTGTACCTGACCTGCAGAATACTGTGCCATTATTTGAAGAATCAAATATAAGAGTAGGAAACATCTGATAACTCTTTTCAAAGCCAAATAAAAGGTTGGGAAATACTCTAGAAATATTCCCCAAATGGCAAAACACTTTTTGTGAAATACATCTGTCATTATCATCAGTTACCATTGACACTGTAATTTTTATCAACATAATTATTTAAGATTTATCATCAAAATTTTCAGCCTACTTCTGATGTGTTAAAAAGTTTTAGTAATACAGTTCTGAAGATTTTGGGAATAATATTCAAAATCATCTTAATACCAGGTACCTAGAATCACTGCACAGTAGCAGATTACATTTATGAAATTTTCATCTAGTTTCTCATAAAATGTTGATAACAAACAGTTAAGGAAATAATCCTAAAGATTAAAGTGCTGTTTCAATATAAACTTGACTCAGAATTTTTCATTAACTTTGATAATCACTTTAAAAGTGAGAAAGATAAGATCAGATTCATTAACATCTTTGGTAGACAAGAAAAAAAATAGAATGAATATGTACCACATGAATATAGGCATAGTTCTGCAGCAGGGATAATAATGTGAGTGTTACTGTGTACCATTTCCAGTCTGTCAATGCATTATCATTTGATTGCCTCTCAGGATATTCATCATCAACTGTAATTCATATATTACATCCTTACATATAACAAATATAGGTATTATATTACCCCTCTATCAAACTGAAGCTTACAGGCATCTAATACATTTATGTTTTCACAAATTAATGTATATTCTAACAACCTCAGGCTCTGGCTGGCACACTAATATAACTTGAAACATTAAACATATAATACATTCCCAGGTTTAATTGGTAACACTCAGCTAAATCAGTCATTTTTCTACTCAGCTCACTAATACAATGCATTTCCTCATCACAATAAATACCAATTATAAAACCCCATACAGCACCCATCTGGGTTTGTGGATCATTAAATCTGTCTTGCTACAAAGACAGTATAAAATGTATAAATGATGTGCATCAATTTCTGCACAAGAGCACAAAACTTCCATGTACATGAAATATGTAACATATTTTCTTATTGTAAATATGTGGATCATCCAGAGATTTTCTTCATGTGGTTATGACAAGCCATCCTTGTGCGAGGGTTCCACACTATTTTGTCCTGTATTACGTATGTCAGTCATTAGTCAAGATGAAAGTTGACCATCAATAGATCCACAGAGTTTTATATTTATACTGTAGTTTCGATACAATAGTCTTCCATTAAAGACTTTACCCAATATCATACATCACTGTCCACATCAGTCTCACTTCTTGGCTGTCCAAAGTTTCTGGTGATGCTTTCAGACATGGATCTAATATTTTGTAAATTAATTCCATCAATACCATCCAAATCTACATCAGATAATGGTTCTGTATCAAAGCCATCAGAGGCTATTGCACTTGGACGATAATTGTCATATTCAGATTCATAATATGCATTAATCTGATCAAATGAGATAATTGCATCAGAATCAAAAATTCTTGATGAAGCACGAGAGGACATGCTCGTATCATCCATGTCACCGTCGTACTGCTGAGGGTCATTATAGATGGAATTCACATCACTCAAGGCACCTAGAAAATAATATTTGATTTATAAAAAAACCCATAAATACACAGATTCCCTGAACATTTTCGGGGTTATGTGAAATTCCTAGTTATGCAGATCCCCTGTAATTCATAAATGTAAAACTACAGATTACTGTCACTATTCCAAGTACTAACCCTCAGCATCAGTAAGTCCAGCATCATTCATCATAGACACTTGTTCCAGCGCTGGGTCATCTGTGGTGTACCCGGTACTCTCTTGATCTAACAATGGCTCAGATGCAGCTCCGTCATCATCTTCACTCCATTCTGACTGACTTGTTTCACCCCCATCACCACCTCCACCCTGAAATTGATGAAACAAAAGGATGAACAATATACCTTTCTCTCTTCCAAGGTTTAATACTGTATTAGAAATGTTATCCAATAACTGTCCTCCATTTTTCCATCTAAACCAATGTACAGTACAGTACAGGCAGTCCCCGACTTACGACGGGGACTGCCACGGCGGTCGTATGTCCGGGTTGTCGTAAGTTGAGTATGTCGTAAGTCGAGGAGTACCTGTACTGTGTTTCTTTACCTCCTAATTCCTGAGTAATGCAGCAACTTCTGTGACTTATGGGTCATAATCCACACACAATCACTTGATAATAAAGCTGTTAATCTCTTTAAAAGTGATAAAGTATAAGTTTTGGATCTGTAAAGCATACTACTGTATAAAGATTTTCTAAATCACAAACTGGGCACCTAATGTGGTTGCCCTAAATGTAAGCTATACAAACCTTGTCCCTATGATTCATCTCAAATTTAGTTAAGTCACTTAAGGTTGCTAGTGATCTAATGAATTACCGAGAACAATATGATTTAACTTTGGAGAAAGCAGGTCCATAGAGTAGCGTAAACCTTTACATTTTCTCAGAGGTATCCGCCTGATGAAAGAACCTTAAATGTTATCAACCAGCTGGTTACAACATTTTCATTGGAAGGTCTACAGTAATTTAGTTTTATAGCTTATACACTATACAAAGATTGTTACAGGATTTGCATATCCATAAACAAATCCATAACTTATTATGCTCATAAAATTGCTTACTCTTTTACAATCATATCACAGACCCCTTGAAGACTTCTGTACACTCCATTGCGAAAAGAAGAAAATACTTGAACCACTGAGCTGCAATTATTATGTGTAGGTCTGTGTTCCTGTGAGAAGAATTACAGTCAGCCTACTAACCAACATCCTTAACTGAGTCTTCTTCAATGCAGTGTTTGGCCTCAAGCTGGATGTTCTCACCTCACAGGCCAGATACCCATTTGATTAACAAAATACTATTCCAAAGGATGGACCGAGTTTCTTACACTTGTTAGTCTAGGAGCTACCCGTAGTTATGAATGTGTAGGTACAACTAGTACAGGAGAAAAAAAAAACTTACTGGTAATGGACCTGAAGGCTTGTCTGTTCTCTCTCCCTCTGGTGCACCGAGTTCTTGAGCCATCCTCCTCTCTTCCTCTTCAAAGGACCTTATATCATCTTCATCATCAGTTGGATGTTCAATTCCTTTGTGGCTTGATCTACCAATACTCTGGCTCTGTACATGACCATCTCTCCTCCCTTCAACTCTGCCATCACCACGGGCTACATGTTTTCCGTCTAGGTTTTCTCCTCGAACGTTGCTTAATCGTTCATCATCTGTAGATGCATCTGGGACATCCGATTCCATATTTTCATATTCACTGTGGCCACACCCAGCTGCAGTCCTGCTCAATGATAACAACACAACACCCTCCTGTTAGCCTCCCACACCCCACAGACATGCCCACAACAAACTATGATGTACACTTACACCATCTAGTGTGTTATGGTTTAGTTCAGGGGAATGGCACACAGTTTATATCAGTCTATCTACCAAGATTATTTATGATTTGTTTATGTTTAAAGCAGTTTTAATTATAGATCATCTTCAAGCATTTTGATAGCATTATATATCTATATATTCAGAGATATAATACTGTACTGTACCAACTAATAAAATGTCAGCTGAAGACCTATGGAGTGTTGGTTTAGCTAATGCAAAAATGAAATAGTTGTCTTCCCCTTACTTACATTTTATGCTAAGTTAGAATGTGAAGTATCTGAAGGAGTCTCTAGATAGTGAAGTAGCCAAAGTACATAGAGAAAATAAGAGAGAGCTACAGGAGACCAGTAAAACAAAGTACGTACAGTATAATGAACACTGAGTTAGTATACTGATGTATTCTCTAACTCAAAATTATCTGAATCACTATTTTCTCCAAACTTCTTTCAAATAGCTTTCTATTATCTCTCTGGATTATGTTATACATGTGAGAAAAATCAACTTTCTTTGTGTATTATACTGTACTGTACAAATTAATTTCACTTTGTGTAAGTATCAAAGCAACTGCTTCACTTGTGTTATGACAACAATATGTTAATACAAAATTTGTATTGTTAAGAAATGTTTACACATACTGTATATAGTAGATCAAAATTACAAAACAATAATGGTAAACTATACATTACATATTAATATAAAAAAATATGGACTAATATTGAGACACTACTGTATATAAAAAAAATTGATTTGACTTATAAGTAAGGTCATCTTGGATGTTAATATTAAGCTGATAAAAGGTTAATGAGAGGGGTCATTAGTGGTCTCTCAGTGAAGCTCCACAACCTTATCATAAAATACAAAACTTCACATAAGGTGAGTTTTGTTGCACATCAAACATCATGCAAGAGTGGTAAACAGAAGCAGTGTATCAATTCTTACCTTCAAAGCTGCAAAGAGCTACAAGTGCAATTTATTCTACATGTCATATTGTAACCTTCACAGTTATATTTATCAATTGATCAATTAAAATACTTTAAAGACAAAACATTAACAACTGACATCTCCCACCTAATTTTCTTTAATATTAAGTCGGTTATTTCAGGTTACATTTCCATATTCACTATATTTGATCTCCTGGGAGGTTACACTATTGTTTGTAGATAAAAGGCATGTACAGTATACAACAATATCTTATCCATTACTCTACTGTGCACTGTCCATGCATAACAATACACAGCAAAATCATTACCCTGACCAACCCATACCAACAGGATTTTGCATTTTAATCATTCTGTTACTAAAGCAAGATGCCCGTCATTAAGAATCATATAGTATAATTATGAAAGTAGATGATGCAAAATTCTGTGGTAGACCACTTGGTCCATAACAACACCACTGTGACTATTGCGTTGCTGCCGCCACCAGATCACCACCAAGCCTTGCCACTCACTATCCTGCCACAAAATGCTCCACACACATATCTCTTTGGTAGGAAAGCTTAAATGATGTTAGAAGCCAATTCTTATAGCACTAGAACTACATTTAATGAAAAACAGTAAATTTCCAAACTCTCAAAACCAAACAGTTTTCCATACCAACCATCTATAAATAACATCATGTACGGAGCTAATTAATTACGATACAGAATTCTATTTTCTGTGAATGTCTTCAAAACAAAGACAAAAGTGCAGTAATTTCTTCTGTCTTTCTTCAAATGTAGAGATCTGAGTTTATAAAATTTATAGTTCACTAAGCTACATAGAAGTTTATAAGTCAATTTTCTATTTATGTAATTTTTCATTTTCCCCTTAAATAATAATAATAATAATAATAATAATAATAATAATAATAATAATAATAATAATCATAATCATAATCATAATCATAATCATAATCATAATAATAAATAAATAAATAAATAAATATATATATATATATATATATATATATATATATAGTATATATATATATATATATATGAGAGAGAGAAGCAAAATACTTTAAGGTTTTTTATACCTGTACTGTATATCCTTGTCATTAAATATGTAAAGTGGAAACTGGTTGAAGAGTAACTTTCTACACCATGATCAGCTTTGTTATGATTATTTCATTGGGAACATTCACAGCATAACTAGAGGCATCAAGAGCAACAGCAGAAGGCTTCCAAGTGCCAAGCAGAGTGAGAACACCAACCAGCAGTCATATTTGTATACCACAGCTAAAAGTACCAGTGAACAGCCACCTTCTATTTCATCTCGACACAGGACCACCAATCAACAGCCACTAACTCAGCAATCAGGAGTTAATCAGGGCATGTCTAGATTTGGAAATCTGCTTACAAGCAACACTTGAACATAGTTACTGTTGTAAGTGCAGTGTTCAAGCTTGTTGTCCAGGGTACAATATTTTAAACTTAAATACTGTATTAACTGTGAATGGATCAAAAATATACTTTAAGATTAGTAGAGGGTGCACCAGGTCTTGGGAAGTGATCTTTACACATAATAATGCTGTTTCATCCAACAGGCCAAGTCTATGTGAGAATTTGTGCAGTGTTTGAGCAGACAAATGCTGGTGTCATCAAGTCATATTTTGTCACTAAACTCAGACAATTTTTACACAAAAAGGACACTTTACAACTACAAGATATCTACAGATCATAACACAATAAATGCGAAGGCGTAATAGTCCCCAAACATTTAAATACGTACATTATTAAGGTAAGTCATGGGCCACCGATAAAAACGTTATCCTCGTAAACCAACATTTCATTGAATTACAGCCTCTCAATCATCATTGCTTATAAAGTTCCACTCAATGCTGAGGGTTTTTCTTGGGAGGGTGATATGGAAAAAGATAAGTAATCTTATAGATTTGAAGGAGATTAAATACGGAATAAATAGTTTAATAAACAAATAAAAAAATTTAGCATTTGATTTTCTATAAGCATCAATAACAGTGGTACCGGGCAACTTTCTGCATTATATTGCATTAATCCAAATTGCATGCTATATCATATCAAACCTCACATTAACAGCTACAGCTTTGACAGGGTACAGGGTGAATTTCCCTACTTGTATACAGGCTCTATAGTTATATCATTCTACAGCTGTACTTTTAGATGATAACCTGGCTGTGATTCTATAGGGTTATCCTTTGAGGTTCACTTTGGGGTATTGGCAAGACTTGCTTGGTGGTTGCTGCAGTGTTATGAGCAAGCTGTTTTCATTGAATAATGATGACAAAAGTGTACTAGTCAGTGGTTACTCAGACTGGGATAAAAGCATCATGTCAGTGGGATACATCAGATGTATTTCAAGTCTGATTCAAGGTATGGTACATAGGGAGCAGCCTGGGTTCAATGGACTAAGTTCCAAGATAACCACACTGAATTTTTTGCTGTGGATAATAATAATAATGACACTGAGGCAACTTTCAAAGACCCAACACCAAATGGCATTATTCAACAAATTCAAGTTCCAGTGGGCGGAAAAGAAGAAAACATTGTGAAAATATATATCAACATCCTCAAGAAATCACCAGTCAAAGTTCAGAACACACAATCCTTCTGTCTAAACCATGCTCCTCTGAGAGTGACTGACAGATGAAGATTTTGCATCACTATGTGTTCCTTCCATATATGTACTGTATCACATCTCATCTGCAGTACTCAAAACAAGATAGACTTTGTATGTGATAAGTATATCCCAGATAGTTTAAAGACACATAAACTGAGCAAGAGGAGAAAGAAAATTTGCAGAAACAAACAGCTACAAAGCTTTTCTCTGGAAGCTAGCAGAACTATCTCAGAATTTATGAGACGTGAGAGGTGGTCTTCTTCAGCACCAAAGTAACAACACCTGAACCAAAAACCAACACAAATCACTAAGACGTACTCTGTACTTGACTAAGAGAAGTCACAGATTTTGCTCCATGCAAACAAGGAAACAGACAAACACACCCTGCTTCATGTAACGGTAGTAAGAGAGAGAGACACACACACACTATTGATATGCAAAGCTGACACTGATGTAGTAATTCTAGCCGTGAAATCAGTCCAGGAACTCAACAAGATTAAATTGTGAGTTGCCTTTCTTATAGAAAATAACTTCAGGTTGTAAGCAGTTTGTGAGATGACTTGAGCACCGGGTCCACACAGGATTTAAGCTTTGCCCAGCTCAATAGTATGACCTGATGTTTTCCTTTGGGGACCGTGGTATAAAAGGAGCTGGATGCAGTATTTGAACACAAGTATTTAATGATCTGACTGCTATCCATGGGCCTCTAGAGGACTGACTGTAGACACTGGTATGCTTTTATATGCTCTTGCATGACTGTGTCTGCAGCCAAAAGCATGTCAACAATACTCAGAAGCAACTGATGAGAAGTACAATGAATGAACTTCCTCCAATAAAAGCTGCAATACTCAAGTTCAGATGATTAATCCTACTTCTGGACCTCCAACTCCTTAAGAAGAGGGAGTAACTGCACTGAATGACACACACACACACACAGCTGAGAAATATGGTATACAACTCTCCTAGAAATTACTCAGGGATGTCACAAACAGTTTTTATGGGCATAAAAAAAATCTAAACATGCTGTGGTCCGAATGATTTTAGTTTGCCCATGGAGAAAATTAATTTGAGTCTGGTACTTTTGATGTTCGGCTAAATTTTGCCTTATTTACCCTACCCGGTACTTTGTTGGCAAATTACTACCTGTAATAAAGCAACATCCTAATAACAAAAATAACGCAGATAAAGTTAAATAAAAACTAAAAACAACACAGAAAAAGTTTTTATGTTCTACAGCTTCAGCTAGAGTTGAACCTGACGACTTGGCAATTTCGTCATCCGAGTAAAAACACACACAACAACATTGGCTGTCCTTTTGTTTTCAACTTTACCACCACTGGTGGGTAGAATTTATGTTTTAAATTCAGAAACATGAATTAAAATATATATGAACAGTAAATAAGTGTTGCTTCATATTCTTATGTAGAGTAATGACGATATGTTTTCACATGTGCGCACTTACATATGCGATCTCACTTTTTTTCTTTACCATTAATGGTTAGCTATTTCTATTGTTCCATTTATTAACATTAAATAACATTACTTAAAACAACCCTAATAATTTTTTTACATTGCTTTTACTACAGCTACAACCAGGGTCTTATTTTCTTCAGTTTTATATGTAGAACCAGTCAGTCACTGGTTTTGTAAACAACGAAAACAATGCCGTCTCGTCTCCTCGTGTATTTTAATATTCTACGTATTATTAATGAATTGTATTGTTCATTTTGCACACATAAATATTAATTCAATCAAAAAGACATTCAGTAATAAACAATAATGAGTCTCTTGTACATAAGAGAAATGACGCTGTTTACACAATTATGCACGTCTAAACGTTGGCGGGCCGCTCAAACCCGTCAAAATTCGAGTTTCCGCCGTCAAAATTTTAAATTGTGTAGTTTTTTTTTTCCAAATAAAAAACGTTGAATTAAAAACTTGCAAAATTTGAGAACCTACTGTACAACATTTAACCCTTCAACACGCTTTCAAAGAGACCACGAAGCAGTGAAAGTGGTGCTAGTGCTTCCAAGCGTAAGCACAAGTCACTATCTATCCAGGAAAAGGGTGAATTTCCTTGGTCCGGAAATTTCCATGGTCCGGCACCGGTCAGATCCCGAGGTTGCCGGACTAGAGAGGTACAACTGTATTGTTTTTGCCAATGGATAATTTTTTTTTCTGTAGTTACATTGATAACACTCTCCTCTACCACCAGGTCACCTCTACAGACCTGACTTAAAGTCTTAAAACCCAGCCTTGGCACCATCACCCACCCTCAGAACATACAGTGAAGTATCTGCACATAAAAGTCACTGACCTTGGCTAATGTTACCTGGTTATTTACTCTACATGACATCTCTTCACCCTGTGACATATATACACTCCTCTACCAATCAGTGATCTGACTGCCTCCCCATCCAATCATCCTAATACCTTTCATAATTCAATAATTTATACGGACTCAGACTGACTGTGGATATAAAATTAGCTAAGAATAATACGAGGGATCCTCTACAGTGGTAAAAGAATTTTAAAAATCCTACTGCTTGGAATTGGGAATTTCTTGTATTTTCTGCCCCTTGTGGCATAGGTAGACTGATTACACTTTAACTTCTGGTGAATCTGTTGTATCTTTTTAAATGCAAATTAAAATTACTTAAGTTACTGTTTCAGTACAGTGAACTAATACAGTATACTTTGGTACAATACTAGAATTTTACTGTCATCTGTTAGTAGGCACAGAAAGGGTTTGAGAAGTTTTGTTGAATACATGTGAGGATTAGAGGCAGGCAGGCAGGCAACTCACAACCAGGAGTTCCTTACATACTGAGCAACAAGGCCATATTAAATATTATTTTCTAACTTATCAATGCAAGAGTAACTTTGCACTACACAGCCCAGTACTATGAATGATGTTGGTTAAAACTGCAAAGAATGAGATTAATCTATTACATTAATGTTCCTCAAGTCATTAGATGGCACAGGCAAGTGCTTGTGAGTGGGTATGAAATGAAGGAAAGTATGCAGAAGCCTCAAATGAGTTTGGACTTGGTGGCACCATACACAAGGGATATATCAAAATAGCTACATTCTTAAATGATACAATGTCCACAGCATTGTAGTCAGATTACAACGTAAAGAAAATTTAGCAATAAAGAATTTAAATTCTATCTGATAACTGATAATCTGTGAAATGAAAGGTAATACAAGTAGCTCAGAAAATGCAGACATTGTATAATTCATCAACGTAGACAATGTTAGTGGAGAAGCAGCAACAACAGCAAGAGCGCAGTGGTTACCTGGAGCCAGCATATCTCCGCACACTCTGGTGTGGAGTGAATTTCTCTGGGGCTGGGATCTCCAGAGGAAACTTGTGGCCTAGAGGGCCACGTGAAGCCTTGGCTCTGTGGTCTAGCGGCAATGGGTCAGCCAGAGAACGCTTGGCCGGCTGGGATTTGGCCGGTAGGTGGGGCTGTATGTCCCCATCTACAGAAGCAGAGGTGAGCTGCAGCACAGTCTGATTAACACAAGGGTCAAAATGGAGGCCAAGCATTACTGGGTCAAGGCTCACTGGCTCAGATATGAGTGGGTTGAGGGCTTGTGGTTCAAGACAGAGTGGCTCCAATCTGAAATGATCAGGGGAGGCAAGCACATTGTTGAGCTCATCCTCCTGTAATCGGGCTGCCTTCTGAAGAGCTGAGTAACCTTCTAGAGTGTTACCTGTATAAATCTCCATAATGTCGCTACTTGAATTATTGTTGCTGATATCAGAACTAAGATGTTGCTGTGCCCCCCCTTCCCCTTCATCTTTTCTACCAGGACCACTATTACCATACCTTCCTCCTTCACTGTTATGTTGTGTAGACTTTGGGTCCTCTGGTATGCCCTCAAATGTTGCTGATTTTTCTAACTTCCTCTCAACCTTGTTCTTGTCTCCTGCCTTGCTTCCTCCTCCACTGTTCTTATGGTGATGACTTCTGGGGTCTGTCTGGCACTCTCCATCTCTCTTCTGACGTTCTGAACTCCGCTTTCGAGACTGGTCTTGTTCTACTGCAATATGGTTGCTCATCTTCATTCCTTCTTCTCTTGAGAGGGAACGCTTTTTAGGCATCATAACAACACTGTCTGGAGTCATAGCTGTACTTTCTCGTGGACTTTTTTCCAAACTACGCATGCGACTTGTGCTACCAGAGGCACTAGTTCTTGAGGGGGAATTTAAATCACAATCAACATAGCTCAATCTGCACCCTGGTCTAACCTTTTCACTAGATGGGGAAGCACTGTGACTCACACAATTATCAACATGGGAGGGTACTTCCACATCCACTTTATCACTGTGCTTACTACGTTTCATCTTGTCACTCGAGAATTCAGCAGTCAACTTTGGTATCACTAAATCATCCCTTCGCATCCTTTCATCTTGAGTAGGACTAGCTATGTCAGTTTCCCTCCACAGCCCAGGTACATTGGGGTAGGAATAGGTTGTAGAGTCACGTGAAAGACTGTTTAATCGCAGAGAGCTTTCATCACTTGAGGCTTTTACACTAGACAAATAATCTGAGTATATTTGAGGAGAAAGTTCCCTAAAACCTGGTGCCATTGCTCCTTCAAGATTCATACCACCAAACATATATTTAAAACGTTCATCACTTAAGGAAGGTGCATGCTGTGGTGATGGTGAATCAGCATCTGTGCGAGAAAAATCAGTACGAGAGAAACTTTCATCGGAAGAGCTCAAGCTTGGTGAACGATTCAGAGAACTTATTTCATCAGCTGAGGAATGGATGCGAGTAGAATGGAGATCTCTGTGAGAAGATCCATGAAGACTGTCATCACTGTAATGCCTACCAAAGGAGCGTAACTTATGACGTACTCCGGCTTCCTCAACATGATGATGACGGGGCATTGGTGGGAGAATAAGTCCGCCACTGAGAGCACCCCTACTAGCATCAATAGGTCGCAACTGGCCATCATCACTCTCTTTCCTTGGAGACGTACGGCTGCGCCCAGATGATTTTTTCCCTCCACTGTTTCCCTGTTGCCCTCCTTGACCGCCACTTTGAGAGCGGGCCCAGGTTGGAACATAAGAATTTTGTGGAAGATTGTATTCATCTGGGCGGTATGTACGAGGACGGGACTGTGAATAGGTCTTGGGTGTGGTGACTGAACTTTGGGGCTTCATCTGCTGCATTGCTGCACGGGTTGGTGTTTGAGATTTATTACAAGCACGCATTTGCGCTACTGAGAATCTAGGTGGTAAAACATGTGCATTTAGCGGTGCTGGAGGAGCTCTGGTAAGTAATGGTTCCTCTTCACACCTCTGACAATCCCCTCCTTGCTGCCGACCGCCCATCTTTGGTCCACACTGGTTGAGATTCATGTTCGTTGCCTGGATATCCTCACAGAAAGAGTCTCGGTTGCGGCGTGAGCGTGGAGTCCCTCCAGACTGTCCATGTCCCCCATGTCCTGTGAGGCCTTGAGAGAGACTACGACCATGAGGGGGTATCTTGGGGGGCACCATCGCCAATGGTGTAGCTACTCCTCCAAACAGCCCTCCTGTTAACATGGGAGTGTATTAATATTTGAACTAATGATGAATAAAATTATCAAATTAATTACTTATATTTTTTGGCAATAATATACAATAAGAAAATAAAATCCACATAGCTATATACCTTTTTTTAATAGCTCAGGCATCACATGCTACAGTATATCATAAATTATACAAGCTTGATCTAAAATGATGATCTAATTTACTATGAAGTGCAATAATCATCTACAAAACACTTCTTGCATTTATAATTATATTTCTAAAAGACTACAACTTAACATAGATACAGTACATCCTAGACAATAAATTAACTTATGTAAAAATTATGTTAATGTTATCCAAAAGTAACTGAAAGCCTTAAACTTGATGAATATTACCAATATGAAAATCCTGTAACACATACCGTATTTGTAATACTTATAAGTCTGTGTTAGAAAATTACCTCATCATCTATTAAGAAATAAGTAGATTTTTTATTATCAGACATATATAAACCATAATCAATGTTACCATATCATTAGAATTGTTTCAGAAAGAAAAATTCTTGTCTTGCAATATTTTAGAGGGAGCGTAATAATGCATTGGCAGCTGATTAAACATTTCTACCAAAATAAACATTTTTAATTTTCATCCAATCATATTAATTACAAAATGGCATTGTAACTATTTTCCATAGCCAAATTTTCATATCACCGTTATGTGTCTAGAAAATTATTGCTGTAGATCTTATTGGAAATTTTTAGCATTTATGTCATACTCCCTTCAGTATCATCAGTAAGGCCATTCAATGTTTTCTTTGTGTCTTATAGAATCCAAAAATATGACTTCTAAAGTAAAGCACCTACTCTCCCTACAGCCATCCTGAATTACTTACACATCTCCAATATACAACACAGTGCTCTTCATTTCCTTGAAGATTAAATATAATTGGGTTAAAAATAATTATTAACATTTCATTTTCGAGTGACAATAAATATAAAAATTTTCAGGTACAGTACTGTACTATTAATGTATGCTCGACTGCCCCTTGAAAATTAAGTCCAGGGTGCCGAAGCAGAAACCATTTTACGAGAGAACTGTTCAAGGTAAAGAGTTTCCTGACTGTATGCAAATTTCATATACAAGGTAAATGAATTTATGAGCTTGATTGATATGTACTTCACTCAATAGACCACACCGCTGTTCCCTATAATCTCTGTATAATATTAAATAAAGTAGTGTAACTTATTCTGATAGTCTTGTAATGACTATATAATATTTGAAAGAGAATGGAAATAAATTGAGGCATATCTAAGGTCTACTGTAAGTATATTGATAAACAAATGAGAGACTGATCCTGCAATCCATTTTATAGCTGAGCAGAGATCAGGTGACTCATGTTACAGTAAACAATCTATGAAGGTGAAAACCCAGACCACAAGATCCCTGGCATTTATGACTTGTATTCAAATTAGAATAACTACAAAATAGATAATTCATAAAATATTCCCAAATTAGTTAGTCCTTCTTCATGGCAACCATAAACCCTAAAAGGGCACTTTGTGAAGCTTTAGTCACCACAAGACAGAAAACTAGAGAATCTAAGCACTGCAGTGGTACACATGCTCCCTATTCATGTGTTAGTTAAGTTTCCATTTACCATTCTCCAGGTACAAGGGAAGTTTTATGAGTTGCCTGATCTGTGCTCAGCTATAAAATAAAATTTTAGGATCAATCCCTCATCTATTGTCTGTACTTTGCACATCCTGGGCAACTCAGGTTTTCTAAAGCCAGCTAGGAATGTGAGGTTGGGGGTAACATTAAGTTCAAAATCCTGCCGCATCCCACATCATTTAGAGAGAGCTGTACAATCCAACCTTAAATGTTCTTTACAGCCATGTGGTTAAGAGAGCAAGAGTCAAAGTAAACAAGACTTTCTATACAATATCTATCATGAGTATATAGTAGTCCATAACTTGTCACAGTATATATAGTATACACCTTAACCTGACAGCTCATCTGAACACTAACAATTGCAGACCCCAACACATCTAAGTTCATTTATGTGTTATATGAAACAATGATATGAAAAGGAGACACATCTTAGAGCTGGAAAAAGAAAAAAAAAAGAAAAAAGGGTAGAATGCTTAAAAATTTCTTCCGAACATAAACCTGGGATATTGGCACTAGAGAGTCCATGGTGAACTGGAAGGACTGTTATATTTGAGGGTAACTCATTGAATAACCAAACAGAAAAATCCCCAGATAGGCCCCTATGAAGTTCCTAAGTACAGTACAGTATTCCCTTAATAATCACTAGACAAGACACAGTAAACTCTCAACAGAATATTAAGCATAAATCCATTATTACCAAGGAAGGATTATTTTGTGCAAAATTAAATTACCCTGAAAACTAAGAATGACTTCACCTGAGTACTAATAACCCCCAGCAACACCCCAATCTGGAAATTAACTGATTTACTGAGCTACGTAATGTGAGACCTGCACACGAGGGCATGTTGCTGAGTTTTGTGATGATCTGTTACAATCCTCAAAGTGTCCCATTAGCTGATGTAAGTATTCTCGTAATGCCATTAATAACATAATATATACTATGCTAATGCCACTAAACTGTGTAATTTATTCTAGGGTAGGATTTATACTCCACCAGAAATAGAGGTCCAGGAACTTATGAGACAGGGAAGTGAAATAGGTGACCCAAGACTATTGCAGTAATACCAAGGTATAATGAATGTGGAGTTTATGTGATAGAGCAATGGTTAGACTCTCCAGGCATATGGCCATAGTCAGGAATGGTTAAAAAAAAATTGAATATTTTCTGTATTAGCTAACCTAGACTTGCTTTAATCAACAGTCACACCTGTCGGGGATCAAGAGACATGGGTTTTCGACTCAGTAGATTGTGTACTACCCTGTTGCCTTTTCTTGCACAAAGACCAGAGTGATTTGTGCAGTCTTCCTAAGACAGTATGTTTACTTTGCATTAATACATAAATAAATCTATCATATTTTTTAATCGAGTGCCAGGCCTTGGTTACATATTGGGTTGAAGATGCTGTTGCTCCTACTGCATTCACTATAAAAAAATTTGAGAAGTTCAATGCAGTCTACTGATAATGAAACACTACTTCTCAAAATCATTAATTTGTTTCAAATGAATTACTGAAATGTTCCTTACTAATTGTGATTTATTTGTAACAGCTGCTCAATTTCTTTGTAATCTGCATTTAAGCTCATAAAAAGCTCTTACATCTATAATACAAATCATACAAGCATACCAGTATACGTAACTATTTTTTCCCAATAATACTGCACCTATATTAAACAGTTAGTTACAAACATTATGATTTTCCTTTATCATTATTTAAATTCCTTCCATATTTTAAAAATCTTTAAAAAATTTAACTTTACAAGTAACTTTTCAATACAGACCCTCATAGTCATGGATCTGAGCTTTTAATTGTTTCATTTCAGAAAAGCTTGTGTTAATAATTGGGAATAAAAATGAAGGATTGAGGAATAAAATCCCCTTTATGGCCAAAGGGGTGACACAAGTGACTGGCAAGATGAACCCACCACCACGTGGTGCCTACTGTACCACTGCCTGGAAATGAGCAAATTTGGGACCAGGGGAACACTTTCCAAGTGGAATACAGTAATTATTTGATGTAAGCTAGACGCTTATAAGAAAACAGTGATCACATGGATGGTGCCATTCTGGTGCCAAGCACTGTTAACTTCCTGGGCACAGAAAGGTATTTGGAAGTGAGATCTATCTTGAAGGTCACTTGTGAAGACCCAATGGCCATAAGAGCTAATAATATTTGCAATCTGTCAGGATATAGTCTTTTGTAAAGCAAAATTATAAGCTGTATTACTGTATTGCCTTACAGTTTGTTTCTTACAAAAGGCAAGAATTACTTTGTAAATACAGTCAACACTTGTTACATCACCTGATGCAGCATAAAAAAGGAAATATGATCACAAAAATCATTATACGTAGAATATAAGTAATTTAATTATAAAATATCAATTTTTTTAATGGTAAAAAATTATCATGATCAAAATTATACACAAATGCCTATGATTTTCCTCATCTGAGATCAACACTGTCTACCTCCATTAGAGTGGGTAAAACAATAAGTATATCTGATTATAAAACATTGGAAACATATTTGGACTTGAAGATAAAAACATGAACTCTTTACTATCTCACAGTGCATGCATGAGTTAACATACAAATAAAAACCTATGAATTACCTTCCTATTAACCTAGTGATCTATTTATACATAATCAAAATGTAAGCACACACATATATGCACACACATATATGCACACACACACACACACACACACATACATGCATGCATGAATGCACACACACACACATACATGAATACACACACACACACACATGCATGCCCCCTCATAACTCCATCTGTGAGGGAATTACTACGCCATGTGATGCCCCTCATAATACCATCTGTGAGGGAATTACTACGCCATGTGAAGCCCCTCATAACACCATCTGTGAGGGAATTACTACACCACATCAGGCCCCTCATACACCATCTGTGAGGGAACTACTACATCATCAGGCCCCTCATAACGCCATCTGTGAGGGAATTACTACACTACGTGTCTGCTGTTCAACACCTCAGCTCACATGATATACGTGTGTAAACATTAATCTGTATGTTCACTGTATGTTCCTTCACCTTTCTCTAATGAAGGCTTTTGTTAAACCACCAATGTATGTAATAAGTCATTTATGTCCAATGTATATTTTCAGCCTTAGGGCTGCAAACTTTTTCAATAAACCGTTTATTATTATTATTATTATTACTATTATTATTATTATTACACACTCATACACACGCACGCACGTACACAACCCTCCCCCCACACACACCCTCACCCCCCACACACACACAAACATACGGACACTCATGAAAAAACATACATACACGCATATATGTATGCATGCATGCTTGCTTACTTGTG